AGCATTCGCTGGCATGCAGCGAGTGCCTGTAATTTGTACGCTGCCTGCCCTCATGAGGGTGGGCAGCAGAGCCTGGCAGCAGCTGGGATACTGAGACAAATGCCCTGCAAAATGGCTCCTTCCGTCACGGCGCTCCTCTGAGAGGCCGTCAGTGCTGAGTCACCGCATGTGCCCATCTCCTTGGTGTGGGCTGGCTGGTGTGCACCGTGCGTGGCTGCTCCTGAGAGGGAGGGGATCTTGCTGTAGCCATTGTGTGTCTTTGATGCATGAGAACAGGGTGGAAGGAGGCCCTGGCCCCTTGCCTTTTGATGGCCTGCAGTAGTTTGTCTTCAACAGCCTGAGTGGGGATGTCGCTGGGTGGTCTTCAGAAAAGAGAAACTGAGGCAGGTGCCTCTGGTTGGACAGTTGCTTTAATGTATCATGTGCTTTTCCCTAAGCCTTTCATCATCAGTTGCTGCCTTCTTTTGACTTAGGCTTAGTCTGCATGTGTGTGTTGTCCTATTTTGGGTTAGATTTGGGGGTACTGAGCTTTGCTCCTTCTTACTGGAAGGCACACTGTAATCTCAGGAGCGAATGAAACCATTTGCATGTGTGTACTCCTTGGGCTGAAGGGTGAATCTTGCACCTTGGTGATTGAAGACCAGGCAGATGGAATGTAGAGACTGCTTAGTTGATCTTCCAGGGGATGCTGGGCCTGAAAGTCCGCACACCTTGCTCTGTTGTTGACCTCGTCCACCCCGGGTTCCCTAGTTAAGACTGGAACCGTTCTGCTGGCCTGGCGTCCACTGACACATTCACCCTGGAAGCTGTGCCCACAAGAGTACCCACATGGTCAGGCCTGCCACCATGCGACTGAGCTCCCTGTTGGCACTGCTGCGGCCAGTGCTACCCCTAATCCTAGGACTGTCCCTTGGATGCAGCCTGAGCCTCCTGCGGGTTTCTTGGATCCAGGGTGAGGGAGAGGATCCCTGTGTAGAAGCTGTGGGGGACCCAGGAGGGCCACAGAATCCAGATTCAGGACACCGGCTGGACCAAAGTGATGAGGACTTCAAACCTCGGATTGTCCCTTACTACAGAGATCCCAACAAGCCTTACAAGAAGGTGCTCAGGTGAGGGGCATTGGTTTGCGTGGCTCACCAACATGACTCTTAGCTAGGGCTGTTGTTTCGGTCCTTGCTTCTGCTTCAGTGTTTGGTTCCTTGGAGCAGCAATTCCTTTTTTTTTTTTTTAAACAGAATCTTGCTATATATTCCAAGCTGGCCTTGAACTCACTGTATAGCCCAGGCTGGCCTTGAATACTGTGATCCTCCTGCTTCAGCCTCCCAAGTGCTGAGATTACAGGTGTGGACCACCACGTTGGGTGCAATTCTTTGTCTTTTCTCCATCTTGCTTTGTTCGATTTTTTTCTTCTCAGATTTAAGAAAGTCTCATCATTGATGTTAAATTGGTGTACCATTAACTACTCAGTGAATGCTTACTTTACTTGCTAATCCATATTGATAAGGAAGGAGGAGAGTCTTTCCCTTCTCCTCTGCTCCAACTCACTTGTTCCTAGGGAGTTGTATATGCTGGACAAGTTGGCACACATTCCCTGCAGACCAAGGAATTGACCCCTGCCTACTGGTCTCTCCACAGGACTCGGTACATCCAGACAGAGCTGGGCTCTCGCGAGAGATTGCTGGTGGCTGTTTTGACTTCCCGAGCCACGCTGTCTACTCTGGCTGTGGCTGTTAACCGCACAGTGGCCCACCACTTCCCTCGGTTACTCTACTTCACCGGGCAGCGAGGGGCCCGGGCTCCTGCAGGGATGCAGGTGGTGTCCCATGGGGATGAGCGGCCGGCCTGGCTCATGTCGGAGACCCTGCGCCACCTTCACACACACTTTGGGGCCGACTACGACTGGTTCTTCATTATGCAGGATGACACGTATGTGCAGGCTCCTCGCCTGGCTGCCCTTGCCGGCCACCTCAGCATCAACCAGGACCTATACCTGGGCCGGGCAGAGGAGTTCATCGGGGCAGGCGAGCAGGCCCGGTACTGCCATGGGGGCTTTGGCTACTTCTTGTCTCGGAGCCTCCTGCTTCGCCTGCGGCCACACCTGGATAGCTGCCGCGGGGACATTCTCAGTGCTCGTCCTGATGAGTGGCTTGGCCGTTGTCTTATCGACTCTCTGGGCATTGGCTGTGTTTCACAGCACCAGGTGACAGCTCTTTCAAGTCAGTCCCAGTCCCCACCAAGTTGACAGTGACTGAGTGAGTGCTCTCCAGGCTGCTTGCTGGAGGCCATCATTTTGTCCTCCCAGCTACTGGCCTAGCCCTTTGGCACTCACAACCTTGAGGCCATCAAAAGCACATCTGGTCAGGGACCCCTGGACAGGACAGAGGGGCCCAATTCACCATCCTCCTTCACATCTGCCTCCCTTCCCCAACACCTCCCCTCGCACATCACACTTGGGGACAATGTGGGCACGTCCTAGGGATGACTCCTTCACCGAGAACAAAGGTGATCACTTTCCAGCTCTCAGAGCAGCCTGTTGTGCTGTAGAAGGGTGGAAGGCCTGGAGGATTTTCTGGTTCATGGCTCTCATGCCGCTGAGGAATAGTGGGATTTGTTGTGGAGAAAGGGTATCCCTAGTGCCTACTTGATTCATCATTCCCAAAACAAGGCACCAGGAAGAGCCCTTCCTTCCACCCCTTCTGAAGCAGCAGCCATGACAGGTGTGACCCATGTGGATGGTTGAGGGTGCACTGGGACAGGCAGCCTTTGTATGTGTATTGATTGGTGTGATTGATCCCTCCAGGGGCAGCAGTATCGCTCCTTTGAACTGGCCAAGAATAGGGACCCTGAGAAGGAGGGGAGCTCAGCTTTCCTGCGTGCCTTCACCGTGCACCCTGTCTCCGAGGGCACCCTCATGTACCGGCTGCACAAACGCTTCAGTGCTCTGGAGCTGGAATGGGCTTACAGCGAAATAGAACAACTGCAGGTGAGCTGCAGAACAGCGGGCAGCCCTGGGGCTGTGGCTGGAGGGTAAGAGGGGGGCCCAAGGCATCCAGGCTTCAAAGGAGTGGGCAGCTGCGCAAGTGGGGGCTGGGCTGGACCCTTGCATGGCAGGGTGGATAGGGGCTGACAGTGCCTCTCCACCCAAGGAGGCAGAAACCCAGATGGCCCTGAACTTCTGGAACTCCTAAGAAAGCCCAAAGAGTAGAAGGGAGAGACTCGTGGGACTCTTTAGTGGTGGGGTACAGATAAGAAAGGGTCAGGTCATAAAGAGGATGTGCACCCTGGGCAGGAAGAGAAGGGTGGGGGAGCTCAATACTTCAAGATGACTTTTCCCATGTAGAGTGCATGTCCCTCCTCCTCATGGCAGTTATGTAAAGTGAGGATCATTCTTGTCCCCTCTGCAATTTATAGCAGGGGACAGGTGATTAGCAAGAAAGAGCTCACTGTCAGAATCTCTGAGGCCAGGCAGCTGGAGCTGGGTGGGATCCTAGCACTGGTACTCAAGTGAGGTGTGTTCCCTCCAACCCAGGCCCAGATCCGGAATTTGACGGTGCTGACCCCTGAGGGAGAGGCAGGCCTGAGCTGGCCCATTGGACTCCCGGCTCCCTTCACACCGCACTCTCGCTTTGAGGTGCTGGGCTGGGACTACTTCACTGAGCAGCACACCTTCTCCTGTGCAGATGGGGCTCCCAAGTGCCCTCTGCAGGGGGCCAACAGGGCAGATGTGGGTGATGCTGTAGAAACTGCTCTGGAGCAGCTCAATCGGCGCTATCAGCCTCGCCTGCGCTTCCAGAAGCAGCGGCTACTCAATGGTTACCGGCGCTTTGACCCAGCACGGGGCATGGAGTACACCTTGGACCTCCTGTTGGAAGCTGTCACTCAGCGGGGGCACCGGCGGGCCCTGGTTCGCAGGGTCAGTCTGCTGCGTCCACTGAGCCGTGTGGAAATCCTGCCGATGCCCTACGTCACTGAAGCCACCCGAGTGCAGCTGGTGCTGCCACTCCCAGTGGCTGAAGCTGCAGTGGCCCCAGCGTTCCTGGAGGCCTTTGCAGCCAGTGTGCTGGAGCCTCGAGAGCATGTGCTGCTCACCCTGTTGCTGGTCTATGGGCCCCAGGATGGTGGCCGTGGGGCCCCAGACCCATTTCTCGGGGTGAAGGCTGCAGCTGCAGAGTTGGAGCGGCGATATCCTGGGGCAAGGCTGGCCTGGCTCGCCGTGAGAGCAGAGGCCCCTTCCCAGGTGCGACTCATGGATGTGGTGTCCAAGAAGCATCCCGTGGACACCCTCTTCTTTCTCACCACTGTGTGGACCAGGCCTGGCCCCGAAGTCCTCAACCGCTGCCGCATGAATGCCATCTCTGGCTGGCAGGCTTTCTTCCCAGTCCATTTCCAAGAGTTCAACCCTGCCCTGTCACCACAGAGGTCACCCCCGGGCCCTCCAGGGGCTGGCCCTGACCCCCCATCCCCTCCTGGCTCGGACCCATCCCGGGGGGCCCCTGTTGGGGGCCGATTTGACCGGCAGGCATCGGCAGAGGGCTGTTTCTACAATGCTGACTATCTGGCGGCCCGCGCCCGGCTGGCTGGTGAACTGGCAGGCCAGGAAGAGGAGGAAGCCCTGGAGGGGCTGGAGGTGATGGATGTTTTCCTCCGGTTCTCAGGGCTCCACCTCTTTCGGGCCGTAGAGCCAGGGCTGGTGCAGAAGTTCTCCCTGCGGGACTGCAGCCCCCGGCTCAGTGAGGAACTCTACCACCGCTGCCGCCTCAGCAACCTGGAGGGGTTGGGGGGCCGTGCCCAGCTGGCCATGGCCCTGTTTGAGCAGGAGCAGGCTAACAGCACCTAGAACCCCATCCTGGGCCCCTAGAACCCTCCCTGAGGGTCCCTCGTCTGCCTCTGCCCCAGGAAGGTCAAGGCAAGGCGATGGACAGTGGAGGGCTTCTTGCTGTATTTTTTTAAATAAGAAAATGTTATTAAAAAAATGTTTTCTGGCAAAATGTTTATAGGTCTAGGAAGAAATGGGGAAGGAGAAGAATCTGAGGGAAGGGTGTGGGGAGTTTGCCCAGAGGGACCCACTTCCCCCTCCCCAGCTTCCTCCAACCTGGGTTTCCATTGACCACGCTGCTGCTGTCAGAAGAACAACCTTTAATCCAGTCCTCCCGCCCCCAAGGCGGCAAGAAGCCACAGCAAAGTGGCTGATCCCAGGGCACATCTGGCCAGTTCTCTGGGGCACCCCTGGCTGGTCCCCAGTCCATGGAAGTGCTCATTTGCAGGCTCCTAGGTGTTGCGCACAACCAGCGACTGCTCCAGCTCCTGCCTGCGCTGCTGGATCTTTAGAGGAAGTGTGGGCAGGGGCAGGGTTACAGTGTTCCTGGTGAGTGAGCAGAACATCCCACCCGCCCTGTGTCCCCTGCCCTGGACCAGTCTGGGAGCTGGAGGCCACAGTATAATGGCGTGGGTGTGGCAGAGGGCATCACTGTGGGGAGCAGCAAGGGCCACTGGTGGCGAGTGAGAAGGGCGATGTGGAGGAAAGGAAACCTCAAGGGCAAGGGGTGCTCCTGACCTTACAGTAGAAGTAGCGGCTCACGGCCTCCTGGGACCAGGGCTGGTGGTAGAACTCGGCCCGGCGCTCCTCTTCAGGGTTGCCGGCTACATCTGTCATTACCTGAGAGGGGGCACGGGGTCAGCACCAAGCCCTCGCCCTCACCTGCTGCTGGTGTACACCGTTTATGCTCTTCCCTATGTGCTTGTCTCCACTCCAGCGCTCCCCCAGTCTCCCGCTCACCTTGAGGTCCCGGCTTTGGGAGCGGAGCAGGTCTTGGACGTAGCCTTTGGGGTCTCTGGAGAAGCTTAGCATGAAGTCCCTCTGGATCTTGAGCTGATTTATGGACTCGATCGTCTCATGGATCTGCAGGTAGAGAGATGATTTCCACCTGATCACAGCAATGCACGCGGGGAGGTGGCAGGGTGGGTCGGGAGGGGAGGGTTTCCATGAAGGGTGGTCTCTGACCCTGCTTCCATCAAGTCCCAGATAAGGAAGGGTGGCAGAGATAAACTTGGGATTCTGTCAGCCACTGAAAGCACACGTCCTTTTCTCCTCCTAACACATGCTGTGATCTGTCCTAAGTGTGCAGTGTCCTCTCTGAGTTATTGTCCTGCTCCAGTTCTGGGCTCGGGCCCCACCTTACTGTCCAGAGCACTGATCTCCTGCTGGTTGGCTGTAGACAGGAGGAAGCTGCTCATCTGGCCCTTCAGTGGCTCTTCCACCTCCACGTCAATGTCGTAGCACGCTGTCTTCTTCTGGTCTGATGGGTCCACGCTGCCAGAAAAGTCAACCCTTTGATGGCCATATGTCCCCAAAGAGGCCCAGGGCCCCAGGGCTGGTGCACAGGAGAGAGGGAGGAAGGGAAGGGGAGGGAGGACTAGGCAGGCAGAAGCAAGCTGGGACCACCTCACCTGATGACATGGTTGATGACAATTGGGTCAGGGGGCAACAGCAGGGCTGTGAGGCGCTGGGGAATCTCAGAAAACTTCAGCCGGGGACAGTCAAAAATCTGAAGCAGGACAGTTGGGGAAAATCTCACTCCTCTGTGTGTAAAGAGATCATGGCTATAGTTCTAGGTCCTGCCATTCTGGAAAGGCCACTGGAAGCTGAGAGCAAGGTGGGTTCCTCAGTGCCCATAGGATGTAGGGTTGGCAGGATGGCAGACAAGGGCTTGGGCTAGGGCCCTGAGCTGCCTGCTGGGGCATGAGCCCTCCTTCCGTCCTACCATGCCACCTTGAGCAAGTCACCTAACACCCTTGGCCTCAGCATCTTCATCTCTGGGATGGGAACGTTAATAGTTCCTGTCTCACAGGGTGTCATGAGAATTCACTAAATCAATATACTTTCACAAAGTGCTCTCAACAGGGCCTGGCGATGTAGTAAGCCTCAATAAATATCACTTGCTTTTTCTGCTGAACTTTATCTACTGTGCTTGTTGTAAAACATATTCATAATATAACTCTACTTTGGGAGAATGTTGCCCTAGCACTTTCATAGCACTGTGATTTTCTTAACTGCCCAGGGGACAGGTGTTGTTACCTCCACACTTCAAAGATAAGGAGCAAGGAACAAATAGCAGAGTTAACTTACCTAAAGTCAAGAACTGGTCTAGAACCCAGGGACCCTAACTCCAGGTACCAAGAACATGACATTCCAGGATGTCATTGGCTTTGTAGGCTTCCAGATCATCCTAATTTGGGGAGCCTAAATAGAGGGCTATGGCATGGAGCTAATCTATACAAGACCTGGCCAAGACTCCTACCCCTCTAGGCCCACAACTGTGGCTGTAGCCATTTCTGCTCTTACAGATAAGTAGGGAGAAGCAGTGTTACCTTTGAAGAGGTGCTCCCCTGATCCCTGGGTTCAGGAGAAGTTACCTGTTGGAAATACTTGTCCCCGTTGATGTACTCTTTGTCATGGGAGTCCTGTAGCCTGTTGGTCTTCACATACTGCCACAGGGCCTGCACAATAGCTGAGCGGCTCTGTGTGTGCAACCCCAGCAGCCGGGCCAGGCGGGGGTCCAGTTTGAACTGGGGAGGCTGGGAAAAGGTGAGCAGAAAATTAGACCAAAGAGAAGAATGGGAAAAGCTCAAGGCCAGGCATCTTGGGGCAGAGGCCATGGTGATTTGGTTCCTTGGAAACAGCTTTTGTAGGAGGAGCAGGGAGGAGATGGGGCCCCTTGGGAAGTGCCTGGTTTGGCATCTGGGAGTGGGGACAGGCACACACCTGGTAGTCCAGCATGAGGAGCAGTGTGCAGCGCACACTCAGGTCCCCCGGCCTCTTCACCTGGAACCCATCCGTCTCCTGGGTTGTAGGTGTTCGGTGCCACTGTCCAGGGAGAAGGGCTGGGTCACCTGCAGGCCCATCTGGCTCAGTGGGGCCAAGGGATTTAGCATGGTCCCTGATCCAAATCTGTGCAGGTTCTCTTGGGCTTTGGGCCTTCAGGAGAGTGGATTCAAGGGCAGAAGGGGTCTTTCCTACCTCAACAAGATGGTTGTCAGGACCGTACAGGTCTTTGTCCAGCTCAATGACCAAACTCTTGAAGAAGGAAGAGAACTTCCGCTTCTGCTTGCTGGGCTGTAGGAGAGAACAGGGGACCATGGTGCAGGATGGGCTGAGCTGGCAGCAGGCAGGTGGCACACTGTGGAGCAGCCTTCTGTACCCAGACTCACCCCAGGCCCACCCACCAGGCCAGGGAGACTCCCCGATTCTTCCTGCTGCCCATACCCACCCCAGGACACCTGGAGAGACCTGGGCCAGGACGTACATCATCCAGGAGCTTCCCCTCCACCCGCAGCTCCCAGGAGGCAATGCTGCCATCAGAGTCCTCTGCATCGGGCTTCGCAGGGTTAAAAGTATTGGAGATATAAAGACGCAGCTTCCGCTTTTGCTGTAGAAATAAAGAGTGTAGTATAGGGCAGAGGCTCTGTGCCTCCAACCCAGGGGCCACCCTGCTTCCCCGTCTTGATCACCAGCTTAGAGCCCTCTTCCTGTCCACTCTTAGGCACCTTCATAGGCCTCTTCAGGGCCTCCTGGATGTCCACCCGCTTCCGCATGATGGTTTGATCAAGTTTCCTTTCAAATGCTAGGAGGTCCATGTAAGCCTGGGACTCGGGAACCAGCTCCCGAATCTGGAGGAGGAGCAAGACAGGAGTGGGGTCTGAGCCAACCTTGTGATGTGGAACAGGAGCCTGCTGTGCAATCCCAGGGCACAAAAAGTGTGGAAGGAAGAAGTGCCGATGGGGCTTCACCCTAGGACCCCACGATGTAACCTTGACAGTGGGGCCTCTGTGTGTTCAGATAAAAACTGCTTCTTCCCCTAGGGAGATCCATGTAGCTCAACACCAGGCTGAGGATCTGTGCAGCCTAGTAAGTGCTAGCACTTAACCTCATCTTGTCACTTCCCCTGTCACCTGGCCACCCTTGGGTCTCTGCAAAGAGCTGAGGGGCTCTGGAGCTCCCAGTACAGAGGATGTGATTGTTTGCCTCTGTCCTGGCACCTCACCACCCCCACACCTGGTGCCTGAACCACGCCACCCCACACCCAACTCAGCCTGGGTCCCTTTACGCTGCCCATCGGGACGTGTGGCCACCTTCTGTTCCCTTACTCCACCTGGCAGCCTCTTTTCTCTTCTTTGTCCCATGCCTTTATGTCTGCCAACTGCTGGCGTTCAACCCCCTGGACCTCAGGCGCCTCCTTCCCTCTGCCCCATCCTGTTCTCTGGCCTGAGGAGCCTCACTTCTTAATGAGCTTTTTAAACAAAAAGTGAAAGTGGTGGGCTGCTAAAGGCTCCTGGGGGAGGGAGGAGCCACAGAGGGTGGGGGCTGCAGTGAAAGGCACTCACCCTTTGAGGGAGGATTTTGTCAGCCATCTTCCTCCTCTTGGCACTGTACATTTTTTAAAGAAAAAACCAGGTTACCATGGTGACAGATCTGGGAGTAACGAGGCCACCTGCTAAATTATCCCGACATCTCTGCCTGCCTGGCTGGGGTTCCCATAGCCCACTTGTCTGCCCGCCCGCCCGCCTGAGTGGTGTGTTGAGCTGGCGTGCCATTGTCCCCTCTTAGGAAGTGGGATGATCAGTGCATCCTCTAGCCTGCCCCCCTTCCACATCAAAACATCCTCAGGGCCAGAGAAATTCAGGCTTAGGGTGGACTGGAGGTAGGGGAGGTGTGGGAGGGAAGCTGGGGAATGGGGAGGACAGAGAGCAGGGAGGACCTGTCCTTCCTGCAAAGCAGGGGTGCGTGTCCCTGGGGTCGACTCTCCCCATCCCTGGAGCAGGAGGGAAGGCATGAAGTTGTGAGACTTGCATCCCTTCCACCCTTGGGACTGGAAAGGACCACTGAGGAGCAGGGGGCACTCGTGCCCTATGACTACCTGCCAATGGGCAAGGGACGCACACCAGACAGACCCAGAGACAGCAGGGATGTTCTCCTGTGTAGGTGTGACTTGAGGTGGGGGCCACACTAGGTGGGCTTGGGTTGGGCAACAGCTAGGAGTTGGACTTCTGACCCACTGCTTCTGACTCCCAAAAGCAACATCCTTGGCGGATCCAGTGGCTGGCTCTACACTGCCCCCGTGTGGTGGTTGCACTCACTGCCCCCCTCACCACAGAATCCACGGGAAGGCTGGGCAAGCAACTCTTTAAAGGTCATCACTTTAAACAAAGTATCTATGTGAAATTCCCCGTTGATACAAGATAAATTATAGAATTATTTGATACACAAAATGACGATTCACTGCAAAATAATTCATCATGGGATTCCTACAAATGCTGAATTTTCCTTGTATAAAAAAAATTCAGTAATGAAGTAAAATTGATATTGCACCTTTTATAGGAATCCATCTGTTGTGCAAAAGGAAACATGTGTGTTTGACTAAATACTGGTGCCCAGGGGGGCATGATTTCTGCCAAGAGCCAGCAGGGCTTTTGGGGTGCCACCAACTGCCAAGAAAAGGAAATGGACTGGCCCTGGTGACCTGGACACAGATTTGGTGCAGAGGACCTCGCCCGTTGAGTGCCTGAGAGTCACCTGCACAAGACTGGGCAGAGGCCACCACCCACAGAGGAGTCCCCAGGCTCCACCCCCATGGCCCGAGATTCCCACGGAGAAGGTCTGGCTGGAGTGGTCTTTGAGACCCTGCTAGGGACTTGCAGGAAGGTTCAGTGGGGAACCACACTTTGGGAAACAGCAAAGGCTCTGCCCTCTGTCCTTCGCCAGTCCCATTCCCACCCTAAAGACTGAAGCAGCACCCAGAACCTTTGGGTCAGGGGTGAGAAGGACTTGGCAGGTGACAAGGAGCAGGGCGAGGATAGGGGCACTGGCTGTGACGGCCGCAGCCCATCTCTCGTGGGCACACAAAAGAACCAGACC